TTTTTGTTGTAAAATATTATGGATGAACTTCACATGGTTCATAACACGTGACTCTTTTGTTTTGCATGACCTTTGATATATTCTATAATCATCACACTAATGGTGTGTTGAATTGTAGAATACATCCAAAGGGGTATTGTAAAATATTATGGATGACCTTTTTTTTTTTTGGTAAACATTATGGATGATCTTTTATATGGATTATGGATGACATTTTACATAGATTATGTATGGCCTTTTACATGGATTATGAATGATCTTTGACATAGATTATGAATAATCTTTCACATGGTTCATAACATGTGACTCTTTGTTTTTTCATGACTTTCATGTTTAAAAATGCATCTAAGATAGGTCCTTACGTAGACTCTTTGCTCATACTTATTCTTATTTTTTTTTCTTTTATTTTTTTTCTACACTTCATTTTCCTTTCTTTCATATTTCACTTTCTCTTATATTCTCCATCAAATTCACTAAATTTTTTACTTATATTTATAAATAATTAAATTTATATAATTTTTAGTTTTTTAAATAATAAAAATTTTAATTAAAGAAAAAATTTGGCTTGCGGGTCAGCCCTAACCCAGTCCGCTAAATTATAAGACTTTGAGGGTTAAGGCTAAAACAGGCTCTATCACAAAAAAAAAACCTGAATAGGTTAGGGTCAAATATAATGCTTTGCGGATTAACCCGCGAGCTTTAACCCATCGGTTATCAAGATCAAGTTTCAAGTGGCCTCATAAATTTGGGTTTAAAGCACAACCATTAAATGGTAACGCTAATCCAATTAACTTGACCGTGTGTGAACAACATCCAAAGTCTTAATTACTGCATGAAAATTAAGAAATGAGATGCTGTAGACAAATTTTGACAACGCCATGTCATATTTAAGATATTATGATAAACAGATTAATCTTGCTCAATTTAGCTTCTTTCCCATGATCAGTGAGATCTCCTTTCTTTTTGTTAGTTTTGAAATGTGAACAATCCCAAGTGAAAGAAAGTAACAGGGTAGACCTATGTACTACAGAACGTGAAACACAGCCGCAAGATAAACAAGATAATAATATAGCTTTGAACCACCATGAACATAAAAGAGGTACGTCAGGCTCGTGACGTAAAACAAGCGCTTGTGGGAGGCAACCCAACTATATTTTTTATTTTCCAACATTTTAGTATAGTATTTTAAATTTAGTTTAGCTTATTTTAATTATTCTTAGCATAGTTTATTTTAGTCATATTATAAAAATAAAAAAAATAAAAGCATTGAGGTTAATGATCAAATTCTGTTGAGATGGACTTTCAGGTGTAAGTGGGATTAAAGCATACGCAGGTACGCAACTCTTATTCATTTATATGTTTTGGGTATGATATTGAGCAGAATTGTTGAGGTGGAAGAATACACAGTAGAGATGAATGCAAGGAATAGGAAAATATGGAGAAAATTTTTCAAGTATTGAGAGTTTAAGCCCTTAAAGGAGGCTTAAGCCCCCAAAAAAGTGAAATTTCTCTCGGCCCTAGCGCGCTTAAGCTTTCTGAATCGCGCTTAAGCGCGCTACATAAAATTTTATCCCATTTCTCACTGCCTCAGCGCGAATCACTGCGCTTAAGCGCGCTCATCTTTGACATTATGCATACTGTTAAAGTATTTCAGTTCCATATACTCATTATTATTTTCAGATGCATCTGAATATAAATCTGGGAATTGTTATGTGGAAATTGCACTAACTTTGCAAACATGTTGGATACTCGAATACTAATGCTGATATGGTTGCAGACACTACACAGGATGCTGATAGAAATGATATTGCACCCACTACTGAAATTGATGAGGATTGACCATTGTCTCAATGTTTAGATTTTTTTTCTTTTGTTGATTTTAGTTCATGTTGATATGAGATGTATATTGAGACTGATCTTGACGTGACTATGATTTTTTTTTTTGGATATGACATACTAACGTAGTTTCTTTATCTGTGACATGTGTGCAGAGTACAGTATCAAATTTTTCTGATTTCTTGCTTAGGATTCTTTTAGATTTAAGTTTATTGCTGAGGACAACAAGATTTAAATCTGGGGATGGGTACCATGCAATTCATCAGACCATAAACTTCACATGATATCCAAATTACAAATGCAGTTTTTCAGGGGAGTTTCTCAATATTATTTTCATATTATATGATTTTAAATATATTATTTTGATTTAGTATTAGTTTATTTTAAGGTCTTCATATATATTAGTTAGTTTAATATTTAAGTTTTTTTTTTTTTAATTATTTTTAAGACCCCTTCCATCTTAGTCAATAAATAATTAGTGGATCTTAAGAGATTTTCCATTGTGCTTGATATGGATGCATAATGAATAATTACATGAAATTGGTTGATAGTTGATATCAAGAGTATAATGATGTAAATAAATTTTATTTTCGTACATAAATGAGTCAGTCAAGCATGCTTCATAGTTCACTGGAATAAGAGAAGAATAACTAGAGTAATCAAAGAGAGAGTGGAAAAATAAGTCTCACATCCTTAGCCGTAAGCTTTTGAGCCTAAACAGAATTTTTTTTTGTGGTGTGAACTTTACTGTTGAATCACTCTAGAACTTGTTTTGTTTCTCTTTGAAATGGTCTGTAGTATACAATTGTTGAAATGATAGAGGCAGTTCTTTTTAAAAGCTAGATAGCCAAATAGCCACATGAAGGTTTATTCTTAGATTAAGCCCTTTTGAGCCGAGGCCTGTTTGTTTATTGACAGTACATTATGAATAGCCATTCCATACACATCCTCACCTGAACTGATTAATTTTCAAAATTAAATGAGGAACTGGATAGGATTGAAACAAAAAGATAAAATCAAACTCTAAGTGTATGGGAGAAAAAGGTGAAAAGAGGGAAATTGCCACAAAGTGGTGGAAAAAGGGAATGAAAAGAAAAAGGTTGAACTGTTTATCTGTACAAAAACAGAAAAAGAAAAACAAAAGGAAGAAGGAAAAGAAATAAAAGACTTATATTATATGAATAAATGGAAGAAGAAAAGAGGAGGAAAATAAGAGAAATCTGTTTACTATATGTTGAACAGTTAAACTAGTTCCTCTTTGAAGTTGAATTTTGATCAGTTATCTTAAGCCACTTACCCAGATGATTCCTTCCCTTTTACCTAAGCCACGTTACAACCTTAACAAAGACCTCTTGATTGACTTTGTATACTAGTAAGACTGTGGAAAATGAGAATATAAACAAGCTTATGGTAGTGTTAATTCAGTAAAGTAAGAGAGAAACACATACCCTTAAACACTGAGTGTGAGTGAATAAATAAAAATCCAGTGAGAGGGTGTTGTGGAAATTAAATGGTACTACTATTTCTTTTGAGAATGCATGTTATGATTTTATGACTGGTGAATTATGACTGTTTGCTTGAAATTGATGTGTCATTGATTTTTAATAAGTCTGAATACTTTGATATCTCATTATTGATCAGTTTTCTGCCTGTTATTCATCAAGCATGACTAGCCGTCTCTAAACTTTCCCATAGTTTTATTCTAATTAATTGCTGAGGACAACAATGTTCAAATCTGGGAATTGTTTGATAAACCTTTAGTTTATCTTGTTTAATGGACTAAAATAATATGAATTATCTAGTTGAACAAGTCAAAAATTAGGGTTCTAAAATGATAATCATGAACATTATCTGATTGTTGGAACTAATTAATATATTTGTTATTTTTAAAGGGATTTGATAACAAATGATTCAAATATGAAGATTTAGATAAAGAGAGATCAAATCAGAAAAGAAGATGAATCAAGGTGAAAACAATAAGATTAAAGATCTTATCAAGTTGTTAGAAGTGGGAGCTTAAGCCCCCATTCACAAGCTTAAGCGCCCAGACAATTCCAACTTAGGCCCATTCAAGTTTTCTACTGCAATACGAACTCTTGATCTATTTAAACACCATTGGGGACCAGAAATACATAACTTTTACATTGCAAAACAACTTTTGGGTGCTTGGAGGCTGAAGGAACGCGGAGGAACATCAGATTCATGTTCGTGAGCGGCGGAGACAGATCAACGTCAAGTGTTCACTGGAGATTTTGAAGATCCACCAATCACCTATGGAGTTTGGGGGAGCCTTTCTATTTTCTTTTGTTCTTGATTTTGCTATGTCCGGCTAGTTCTTTAAGTAGTTAGGGTTAGATGGATTTTAGTCAATTTATTATGTTTTGAACAATTCACTGTGTTAATTTTCCTTTATATCATGAATGAAGTTATCTGTTTTTAATGCTTTATATAGGCTTGAATCTTATATAATGATCATCGGTGAATGCATGACAATAGGAATGTTGGTGTGTGATCCATATCTGATAACTTCATCGTAAACGCTATGATTCTAGGGATAGACATAGGGTTTGCGTAATCTTTAAGATTCTTGAACTTAATGCTTGCATGCTTGGGGAATAACCGGGGAACTAGGGTTCTTCCAATATTGTAAAGGTTTTAGAGTAACAAGGGATTGAGCTCTAATAACATGCGAAAGAATTGATTAGATTGATACTAAGGACAATTAACATTAAGAAGGAATTCAAACGTAATAAGGAGATTAAATGAAATCGAACCCCTAGCTACGTTTTTATTTTATTAGTTAAATCACATCTTTAATTTCTTGTCTTTAATTCTTGCAAGTAATTAGCTTAATATTTAATATTTTAATTTTGCAATTCAAATCCTGTTTCCAAATACACTTTCGACTGTCCAACTAAGTTTGCGATAGTGAATTAGTGCTTGAACCGTAATCCTCGTGGGAACGATCTCTTACTTAATCATATATTACTTGTACGATCGGTGCACTTGCCGTGAGTAGCAACAAGTTTTTGAATAGCTTTGAATTTGGTGTTTACGTGCTTTCCCTTGCTCCTGAGCTTCTCCATTTTAACATTTGGCTTACTTTCTTGAGAAGAATTCTCTTTGTGCTCTTCTTCTCCTTTCTTTTCACTAATATAGTAGACTTGATCTTGCGGTTGAATTATAGGTGAAGGGACTTCTTTATCAAAGAACTTGAAAATTGCTTGCTCCCCGTCTACCCATAAGATCAACTCGCCTTTCGATACATCAATCAGCGCTCCTGAGGTTGCCAAGAAAGGTCTTTCGAAGATCATAGGAATAGTAGAATTTTCCTCTATATCAAGGATGACAAAATCAACAGGAATGATGAATTTGTCAACCTTTACCAGTATGTCCTCAATAATGCCATAAGCTTGCTTTGTAGAGCGGTCAGCCAGTTGAACTATTGTCTTGGTTGGCCTTACTTCAGTGATCCCCAGTTTCTTCATCATAAATAGTGGCATCACGTTGATGCTGGCACCGAGATCACATAGAATATTTTTCACTTCCATATTGCCTATGTTGCATGGAATGCTGAATCTTCCTGGATCTTTAAGCTTTGGAGGCAACTTTTTCTGGATAATGGCACTGCATTCCTCTGTCAGCGTCACCGTCTCACATTCTTGTAGCTTACGCTTTCGTGATAGAAGATCTTTCATGAACTTTGCGTAATTGGGCATGTTCTCCAAGGCTTCAGTAAACGAGATATTGATTTGCAACTTCTTGAAAATGTCAAGGAACTTGGAATACTGCTGCTTTTTGATTTCCTCTCTGAACCTCTGCGGATATGGAATCTTTGCATAAGGTGAGAGCTCCAATGGCTTTTCTTGCCTTTCTTGAGCTTTCTTTTTCTCCCATTTGAACTCTTTCTTTTCAGGAACAGATTTCTCTACAGCAGATTCTTTAGCAACTCCCTTTTCTTTTTCCTTTTCAGTTGCAGGTTCATCATCTTTATTTTTCTCAACTGAAGGCTTTACCACAGGTTCAATGGCTTTCTCACTCATAGTAGTAATTGCATTGCAGTGTTCCCTACTTGGATTTGGAATAGTGTTACCTGAAAGAGTTCCTTGAACTCTTTCAGTGAACTGCTTTGATAGCTGGCCAATCTGAGTTTCAAGATTCCGGATAGAAGCTTCTTTATTCCGGAATGAGGCCATTGTCTCTTGCATAAAGTCTGAAGTGTCCTATCTGAAATTATTGGAACTTTGAATGTAATCTGCAGTGGTCTTGGATAGTTGTGCAAAGGCCTTCTCCCATTCTGATTGTTGTGGAGGTTGTTGTTGCACTGGCATAGGAGGATTCAGTTGATGGTTCGAACTGTAACTAAATCCCGGGTGTTGATTTTGATTTTGATTTCTCCACCCTTGATTCTGGTTATTGCCGTATTGGTTCCTTCCTGGATTATATGGAACTTTTTGATCATGCCAAATTCCATTAACATCTGCAGTTTCGGGTGCCCCGCAGTCTTCAGTAGCATGAGCACCTGCACAAATACCACAAGTTATTTGAATATTATTAACATAAGAGACTTGAGAACTGGTAAATTGCTTTGTGAGAGCATCTAGTTGTTCTTGTTGTTTCTTGTTAATTTGTAAAATCTGTTCATTCTGAGCTAAGATGGCATCATAGCCATCAAGCTTCATAATCCCCGCTCTTCTCTGTGGTACTGGAGCATTATCATACTCCTGAGAGGCTAGAGACTCTAGTAATTCCAAGGCTTCCTCTGGAGTTTTTGTTTTTAAGGACCCTCATGATGCAGCATTCACCAATGTTCTTGTGTTGGGTGTCATCCCTTGGAAGAAAGTTCTCGCTTGCTCCCATGCTTCAATGCCATGTTGGGGACACTTCCTGAGTAGTCCTTTGAATCTTTCCCATGCTTCATATAGAGATTCACTTTCTTTTTGTTCAAAAGAAGTGATATCCGCCTTGAGCTTTGCCATTTTCGAAGATGAGAAAAATTTCTCTAAAAATTTTGTTGCCAAGTCGTCCCAGTTGGTGATGCTTCCTTGAGGTAATGACTGCAACCATCCTCTCGCATCATCTTTAAGTGAACAAGGGAACAATCTGAGCAAAATAGCATCCCGAGACACCCCATTCATCTTCAAGGTATCACAAAATAGCATCCTGTGCTTCCTCCGGCAAATTGGTCTTTCTGAATTAATTGTAAAAGTGCCGGCTTGAGTTCAAAGTTGTTAGCATCCACGTTTGGTCTAACAATACTCGCCGTCTGTGGAACTCGAGCAAGAGTCATGTAATCTCCCAACGTTCTCGGAGGTGGTGGAGGTACATTGTTGTCTCCCATTGCTTCTTCTCTTGGTTCTGTTGAGCTTGAAGCTTCTTTCTCTTGCTGTCTTCTTTCTTTAGCAAGTTTTCTGTTTCTTTTTGCTGTTTTCTCTATCTCCGGGTCAAATTGCAAGGAATCGGTGTCAACGGTACCTCGCATAAACCAGAAAAATAGATTATATAAAATAAGAAAATAAAACTGAATTTAAATAATAGAAAATTAAATAACAGAAAATAAGGTCCAATCTAAAGAATTAATAGCTACTATTAATGTTGAAATAGTAATCCCCGGCAACAGCGCCAAAAACTTGTTGCTACTCACGGCAAGTGCACCGATCGTACAAGTAATATATGATTAAGTAAGAGATCGTTCCCACGAGGATTACGGTTCAAGCACTAATTCACTATCGCAAACTTAGTTGGACAATCGAAAGTGTATTTGGAAACAGGATTTGAATTGCAAAATTAAAATATTAAATATTAAGCTAATTACTTGCAAGAATTAAAGACAAGAAATTAAAGATGTGATTTAACTAATAAAATAAAAACGTAGCTAGGGGTTCGATTTCATTTAATCTCCTTATTACGTTTGAATTCCTTCTTAATGTTAATTGTCCTTAGTATCAATCTAATCAATTCTTTCGCATGTTATTAGAGCTCAATCCCTTGTTACTCTAAAACCTTTACAATATTGGAAGAACCCTAGTTCCCCAGTTATTCCCCAAGCATGCAAGCATTAAGTTCAAGAATCTTAAAGATTACGCAAACCCTATGTCTATCCATAGAATCATAGCGTTTACGATGAAGTTATCAGATATGGATCACACACCAACATTCCTATTGTCATGCATTCACCGATGATCTTTATATAAGATTCAAGCCTATATAAAGCATTAAAAACAGATAACTTCATTCATGATATAAAGGAAAATTAACACAGCGAATTGTTCAAAACATAATAAATTGACTAAAATCCATCTAACCCTAACTACTTAAAGAACTAGCCGGACATAGCAAAATCAAGAACAAAAGAAAATAGAAAGGCTCCCCCAAACTCCATAGGTGATTGGTGGATCTTCAAAATCTCCAGTGAACACTTGACGTTGATCTGTCTCTGCCGCTCACGAACATGAATCTGATGTTCCTCCGCGTTCCTTCAGCCTCCAAGCACCCAAAAGTTGTTTTGCAATGTAAAAGTTATGTATTTCTGGTCCCCAATGGTGTTTAAATAGATCAAGAGTTCGTATTGCAGTAGAAAACTTGAATGAGCCTAAGTTGTGTCTGGGCGCTTAAGCTTGTGAATGGGGGCTTAAGCTCCCACTTCTAACAACTTGATAAGATCTTCAATCTTATTGTTTTCACCTTGATTCATCTTCTTTTCTGATTTGATCTCTCTTTATCTAAATCTTCATATTTGAATCATTTGTTATCAAATCCCTTTAAAAATAACAAATATATTAATTAGTTCCAACAATCAGATAATGTTCATGATTATCATTTTAAAACCCTAATTTTTGACTTGTTCAACTAGATAATTCATATTATTTTAGTCCATTAAACAAGATAAACTAAAGGTTTATCAAACAACTAAAGAAAGTAATTAGTTTAACAATGCAATACTTGGATATATTAAAGAAGAATCTAAAGTTCTTCAAGATCATCCATAACCCCGGAAGCTCTTTATATATCAAAATCACAAAAACTAAAGCATAGGGTTTCAATTTTGTTACATAAATGATTTTGGTTGAAATATAACTGAATATGAATATTAAAGGAAAGCACAGCTTCTTTTCTTCCGTGGTTTCTTCTTTGGCTTTGGTGGCCTCAATGCAACCTTTATTGCAGCATCAAAAACCATCTTCACATTCTGCAAACAGAAGAAAGAGAGAATTATAACAGACACTTAAAAGTACTTCTCAATCGGGATTGAATCCAATCAGAGATTGAGTTTGAGTTTCCATCTTAATCTAGAGCTTGAGTTTACTTCAAAATATGGATAAAAGAAAGTTGCGACGTGCTGACATTTACCTGCTGTGTTTTGGAGCTGCACTCAATATAAGTTACTGCACCAATCATTTTCTTCAACTCTTCACCCTGCTCACCACCATCATTGTTAAATCCATTACACATGAAAAAAGAATTTCTGTTTCAATGTAGGTATCTTTTCGTTTAAATTTTAAGGACATGCCTGAACAGTTGTTGTTCGTGTGGCTCCAGGATGATCAATAAAAAATTGCTTGTCGTCTCGCAAATCTGTGCATACATTAATATGAATATTGAGTGTTTTGTAAGCAACAATGGGATGAAATTTTACAAGATATGAAACTGATAATCATTAAATGCGTCAAGTAGATAAAAAGAAGTTGGAAGACACAGCTTGTTTTCTCAGATTAATCAGAATAAGAATTTTGTCTGTCAATTCACCAAAAAAAAACAGTTTATTATGACTAACTGTTATAACTTGGTCTTACTTCCTCTGTTATCTGCCATGGCACATCAGTCACAACATTCAATTGGAAATATGTTGGTGAGTAATGCATCTATTGAAGTTTCACAAGTGGATTAACGCATAGTTGAATAGTTCATAACCAAAAATCACTTTCCATTGAACTCTGATTAGGGAGGGGTAGGGATGAGGGCAAAACCTTTACATATTTGCAAAGAGATTGTTTTACGGTTTTGAATGCATAACCTTTGTTCATAAAGGACCAGCTTTACCATTGCTTAAAACAAAAAATAAGTTCGTTTTTGTATGCAGAAAATGAATTGGTGGTATCTTACCTAGTTTTGTTCCAACCAGCACAATAGGCACATTTGGAGCATAATGTCTCAGCTCAGGCATCCACTGTTTGTCAACAATCCAATGTGTATTTTTTAAGACTAGACAATACTAATATGAAATGAAAACATAATTTAAGTAACAAAACAAGAGGAATCAAAGGCAGAGAGGAAAAAAAACCTTTTTGGAAATGTTCTCATAACTAGCTTTACTGATAAGAGAAAAACACAACAAAAACACATCAGCTCCTCTGTAGCTTAAAGGCCTTAGCCTGTTGTAATCTTCTTGTCCTGTAATCCACAAATTATGCCATCACATTTGGCATTTAATGTGAAAATGAAACATAAAGCTTTAAGTTCACACAGAAGGATAACCAACCTGCAGTATCCCATAAACCAACATTAACAGTACTACCATCCACGGTTACATTAGCACTGAAGTTGTCAAAGACTGTTGGAACATAATCCTACAATAGAGAAAGCAAAGGAAAAGAATATTAACTTCATCACTTTCACTAGCTCCTTCAACCATGATTCATATTCTTCTGATATATTGAACCTTCCATGACCAGCAAATATACTTAGTAGAAACATACTGTGGGAAAGGTATTGCTGGTATACGATATAAGCATGCATGTCTTTCCCACGGCACCATCTCCCACTGTAACACACTTGATAAATCTGGCTGTACTCATTATCTTAGGTTCTTCTTCTTCTTCTTTCCTTAACTAAGAAAACTTGTAAAAAATTGAATATTATGCAGAAGTTTGAACTTGAAATAATGAAAGAAGGGATCAAATTTATAATCATTGCCCGAAAAGCTTTTCTTTTCTTTAAGTGCAAGGACAAAGCCAAATAGGACAACAAAGTAGGTGTAGTGCTAAGGTTTGTTGGTTAAGTGTGGGAGAAGGGAGGGAATGAATGATGAAAAGCAAAGAATTTGCTTAATTAACCAATACACTATGATGAAGTTAAAGAATAAAATGAGGTATGACATGATGCAAAACAAGACAAAAAGTTTGTTGTGACATGTTGGGTATCTCTTTTTGTTTCTAATTATATTTCTTGGTAGTTATGCTTAATTAAATGGATTGAACTAGCATTGGTTTTCTTTGTCCCTGGGTCCACTCTTAATGGTTTAAGTCCAAAAATGAAAGTTTTTTTTTTTTTTTGGAGTAAACTTAAAGGTATCCCCACCTCTTCGGTATGGGACTAATCCTTTTTTGTGGATTGGAGCAGTAAAGGTTTCTTCATTGGTCTCAAAATATGCTTCGCAGGAATCGAACTTCATGCCCTTTAGACACACAAACCCGACTCTGGAGCTCAGCACCCCACCAACTGAGCTACACCTTGGGGTTTAAAGTGAAAGCTTTTATACTGCCAATTTAGCATATAAGAGGCTTCCCGACGTATGAACAAATGGTCAACTACAATACGAAGCAGTTGAAAGGATTGTGCTAGGGCTCCTCACTTCCCTTCGGAAAAGACCCAATAATATGAAGCAGTCAAAAAAGTCTTGGGTTCAGCAACATGGCAAAGATTCTCATCAACCTAGATGAACAAGAAAGAAAAGAAGCAGTCAAGTCTCTTAAATTTGAAAGCACTTATGTGGAAGCAAAAACCTTTTCTTGGTCTCCTCCTGGTGCCTTCAACAAAGCCAGTAGCATCATCGCACGCCTATTGGAACAACAACAAAAATTGATGATGGCTATGACCCACGATTCATCCCTACAACGATGCCACACCAATGAGGCTCTATCAGTTTCCAAAAATGTCAATTGTGCTCCTTTCATGGCTAACCGTTACCATGAAAATAGTTTAGATTCACATTCATATTCATATGTAAATAGCCTTATATCTAGATATTCTTGCCCCTAATACTTTGCATCATGAACAAGCCTTGCTCCAAAATAGTTCTTTAGTGCAGCCCAATTATTTGCAGTAGCATTTGTTGTGGGAAACAATCCCATGTTCAGAGATGGATCAACAACCATGCCAAATTAGAGATTTTCAGTATCATAATGAGAAGGAGATCAATGGACAAATGGTAATGCAAAGATGTTGAAAATATTTACACTGATGGGAATGTGATTAATGAACAAATAGTCCAATTTAGCAATGTCGAAAATATTTAGCATGCATATTCAACGTAGGTGTTTATGATGCTAACATTTTCACACAAAGTATAATTATAAAAATAGAGGAAATTAAGATTTTTATGTTTGGTACAATTAAAAATGATTCAAAATATACATGGATATATTGAATTCTTAGGCATTCTACACTCGTGTTAACATACTAACATACAAGTCATAAACATATATATGACATATTACTCAAGGGAAAAAGGTTTGTACTCTTAGATAATACAAGTTGTGTCTTTGAATTTTTAAGAGTATGTACTACCGATAATACACAGTTATAATATCAAAAGTTGTTTTTTTTTTTCTCTCTCTGCAATCACTAATTAAATGATTTATGTGGATCCAACGTCATTTAAATAATTTTAGACATTTGTCGCTGATTATTCCATGTTTCTTATTAATTGTGAAGTTTGCTGTCCTTCTATGTTAATGTTCTTCACACGTCGCGGCTAGGGGTATAAATGGGTCAAGTTAAGCCAAACTTTGACTTTGATAGCCTAAGCTTATGTAAAATATTTAGAACCTATACTGACCTATTAGCCTATTAAATACTTGATTTATGGCCTGCCATATTATAAAAAACTAAAAAAACCGAATACGACTTGTAAAGTCTACCAAGTTGCAAACTAAAATTTGTAGGCCCAAATCAAATTAAAATATACAAAATAAAAAATTTTATTCACAAAGATTACATGAAATCAATTTTCATTAACATCACATGAAATAAGCTTTCATTAACATCACATGAAATAATGTCATCAAAGATCACATGTAAATGAACATAAAAATCACATGAAAATTTCATATATGTATATATAATTTGCACTTTCTTTATTAGTTTTATTTTATATTATATTCTAAATTTTAAATAAATAACTATTATTTGTTAAAATAACATCGATCTTATTACTTTGAAAATTTTAAAGAAATTTTTTTTCTAATAGATTTGTGCAATTATGAATTTTTTTTTGTTGATAATTTGATATGTCAAATTTTTTGGTCTCAAAGCTTGGGTAGGATGCAAAGCATTAGGGCAGGAATATCTATAAGGCTTTACATTTGAATGTGAATATAAACTATTTCCGTGGTAACCATTAGTGTTAGTCAGGGGTGTAAATGGGCCAGGCTGGCCCAGCCCAGCCTACGGCCCGGCCTTTCAGAAAAGTAGAGTAGGCTCAGACTTATAAAAAAGCTTTTTTAACAAATAGGCCATAGGTCAATTTTGTCAAGCCCGGCCTACAACCTTGTAGGCTGACCTATTTAATTTATGAAAATAAAATAATAAAATAATATTTATTTTATGTGGCAAAGACTTAAAGTACCAAATACCAATATCTCTTACTTTTTGTGCTATTTTATTTTATGAAAGGAAAATTTTTCTAATGTCTCCAAATACATGCTGTTGCAGCTTAATACCAAGGAGTAATGGGTACCTTGCTGGATTATGATGTTACTGATGGAGATCTTTCAATAATACTCTTATTAGTGGTTTAAAGATTTTTAGATAAATGACATTCTCTTGTAGACTTTATTTCAGCTTTCGGTAATTGTATTTTTCTTATTTTCTCCATTTCTTTGACTCTATTCTTCTATGATATATGTTCTAGAGCTGAGGTATTATGTTGACTCTTTCTTGTTTGTCATTTTTTACTTATGAGAAGTACTAGTGCATGCATGAATGAAACTTTCTTTGCTCTATACAATTATTTTTTTTGCTTAGTATCTACAGTGGGAGGCCTACAAGGCCTGTAGGCCATGTCAGGCTTTCTTATTTTTAAAAATGGACCGGACTTGACATACAAATAAAGCCTTTAATAAGCCAGTAGGCCATATCGACTGAATTTTTTTTGACGTAGTCTTGGGCCAAAAAGGCCAAAGCTCAGCCCAGCCCAGCCCATTTACACCCCTAGTGTTAGTCACAAAAGGAGCACAATTTACATTCTTGAAAACTGTTAGAACCTCATCTGTGGCATTGCTGATTAATAGTGATGAATCTTGGGTCATGGCCATCATCAATTTCTGTTGTTCTTCATTTAGGTGTTGGATGATGGCACAGGCTTTGTTGAAGGCACCAAGAGGACCAAGAACAGGGTTTTGCTGCCACATAAGTGCTTCCCATCTAAGAGACTTGACAGCTTCTTCTCTTTCTTGTTCATAAGATTCGCGAGAATCTTTGTCATATATCTTAACCCAAAGACGTTGTGAACTGCTTCAAATTCTTTAGTCATTTTCGAAGGGAAGTGAGGAGCCATAACACAATCTTTCATGCACTTTCTCCCCTGGTACTTGCAAGAAGCGCATGGAGGGTAATTGTAATCACTCTGTTCTCCCATTCTTGATACTCTTGCTTTCTCTCTCTCCCCTGCACTTTTATTTGAATTTCAATCTACGATTATGATTAGGCTTTGAGTTTTTATAAAGCTAAGGATTTATAACTGGAAAAACTAAAATAACTAATAAAAGTTTAAATATGTATTTCCAAATCTATTTATTTATATTTTTTTAATTTTTTTTCAAAAAATTTAACACAACTAAATATTAAAAAAAACAAAAAAAATTAAAAGATACTTTTTCGGAGGTATCATAAATAATCCTCTACTAATTAATGTATAATATTCAATCACATTTCCATTAACTTGAAATGTAAATACAAAAAGAAATTATAATTTTTTTTTTCAAGTAAGTGACATATGTAATCAAATATTAGCTGCTAGTTCTTAAAAACGCTAGTATATATCCTGTTAAAAATAATAGGCAACAAAGAAATATTCAAATATTATATTCAATACTCAATGTAATTAATAAATGTTCTGCTGTGAGGGTTTTGGTTCTTTTTCAACATTCTTCATTTGAATATTTTTTATTTATACTCGTATAATTGATAATTAAAGACAAAAGAAGATGATTAGTAAAACCCTTGATTCTAAAGAATTCTTTTATAAACATGGAACTTTGAATTTATAACCTCTTATGAATTACTTAACTTTCTCATTACTAACTCACTTTTAATGAATTATAATAATAATAATAAAAATTATTATTATTATTATTATACACTAGATTTTTCTACTTGTGCATCACATGGGCCAAATAATAAAGTTATTCTTCAATAAATTATAAAATTTTGTTATGATTAAGTTAAATTTATATTAATAATGAATTTTTTTTATTCATTCAATATAAATTATGTGAGTGATGACTTGGCTACCATTCATACTATAAAACAATTTAGTGGGCAAGCAGTCTTTTTTTAATTCAACACATTTCCTTAAGACGTAAATTAAAAAGTGCAAAAAAAAAAAAAAAGAGTGAAATAGAAACTTTAGTGTTAATGCGTTTAGGTATTTGTCAATGCAACCCTTTAATGAAACCCTAAGCTTTTTACTTTATTCACCTAATTTAAAGCGAATGTTTAGGTGTTTGTCAATGCAACCCTTTTATGAAACCCTTAGCTTTTTACTTTATTCTCCTAAAGCGAATGTGAATTACTTATATAGTAGCGACCCCGTTAAATTTTAGGATTAAGATAAGGAGTTTGATTTTTAAGAATT